AGTAGATTTGAGATGAAAACTGTGCTGGGTGGGATTAACAACAGATTAGACTGGAGGAGACAGATTGGTGAACCTGAGGACACAGCATTAGAAATTACTAAAAGGAATCGTAGAAGAAAAAAGACTGATAAAATTAACAGAGCATCACAGAGCTACGGGACCACTTCAAGTGGCCCACTGTGTGTCACTGAAGTCCCAGAAGGGGAGGAGAGGATGAAAGCAAAAGAAAAAATATGCAGGGAAATAGTGGCCAAAATGTTTTCAAACTTGATGCACACTGGAAACCCATGGAACCCAGAAACTCAACAAACCCCTAAGCACTAGAAATATGAAAAATACCACACGAAAACACATCATAATTAAATTGCTTAAAACCAGTGACAGAAAAATGTTAAAACAGACATATATACAGAGCATCAAATGTAAGGACAGCAGCAGAGTTCTTGTCAGAAACAATGCAAGCCAACACAATGACACCGTATTTAAAATACAAAAAACCCATAAAATAAACAAACCTGTCAATTTGGAATTATATACCCAGCAAAAATAAAGGTGAAGTAAAGAATTTTTCAGAAATACAAAGGCAGAAAAAGTGCACCCCCAGCAGACCCGCTCTAGAAGAGATGTTAAAGGAAATCCTTCAGGCAGAAGGGAAGTGATACTACGTGGAAATAGGAATCCGTGCAAAGAAATGGAGAGCACCAGAAATGGGGAATATAAGGCAATTTTTAAAAAAATTTGAATCACTTCATAAGATAATTGCTTGAAGCCAAAATAATAACAATGTATTATGGAATTTCTAGCAAGTGTGAAGTAATTGTATGACCACAGTAACACAAACAGATCAGGAGGGGGAGAGTGGAAATACACTGCTGCAAATTTATTATACTATATGTGAAATGGTAATAATATTTCTCGAAGGTAGACTAATAAGTTAAAGACGTGTACAAAAACACTAAATACCACTAAAAAAAGAATGGAAGGAAAAATCTGTAAGCTCTAGCTAATAAATCAACAAAGGAGATAAAATAGAATTATAAAAACTTGACCAGTTACAGGAAGGCAGAAGGAGGAAAAAGGAAAAAATAACAGATGGGACAAATAGAAAACAAATAGCAAGGCCATAGAGTTAAACCCAAACACACCAATAATGACACTGTGTGGTCTAAACACCTCAAAAAACAGAGGTTGTCCAGATTGGATAAAAAAAGAAAGAGCCAAGAAACTTACTGGATATATAAAAAATACAAATAGGTTTAAAGTAAAAAGATGGAAAAAAATATACCGTGCTGAATCAGTGAAAAGAAAGCAGGAATGATTACATGAATATCAAAGTAGGTTTAGAGTGAAGAACATAAAGAGAGATATTACCAAATGATAAATGGGTCTGTTCACGACAAGGACACAGCAATCCTAAATGCTCATGCACCTAACAATTAAGCCTTAAAATACACGAAGCAACAAACAATGCCTGGTGGAACGAAGAGGAGAAAAAGAAAATCCCTGATAACAGTTGGAGATTTCAATACTCTTCTCTCAATAAGTGACTGAAGTAGACAAAAAATCTGTACGGATGAAAACTTGGACAACATTACCAATCAGCGTGACCTACTGATTGTATAAGACGCTACCCCTCAGAAGGAGAACACACCTTTATTAACCAAGAGCATTCACCAAGATTCATCATATTCTAGGCCATGAAACAAAAGAAATCAATAAATTTACAAGAATTGGAATCATGCAGATCATTTTCTTGGACTACAATGGAATTAAATTAGAAACCAGTAGCAGAAATATATCTTTAAGATCCCCAGATACTTAGAAACCAAGTAACAACACATTTCTACATAACCTATGGACCAAAGGAGAAACCAAAAAAGGAAATTAGAAAATATTTCCAACTGAATGAAAATACCATCCATCAAAGTTGGTGGACACAGGGGCCTTAAAGGGAAGTTTTGCCCTAATGCTCTTGTTAGAAAGGAGAAAGTTCTCCAAACATCAACCTAAACTTCTACCCTCAGAAACTAGAACAAAAAAAGCAAGTCAAAGCCAAAGTAAGGAAAATGAAGGACATAACAAAAATAAGAGCCAAAGAAATCAATAAAATAGAAAAAGAAAACCAGTAGAGAAGATTGCTAAACTCAAAACTGGTTCTTGCTTGGACGGCAGGGCCAGAGAGAGGAGTCTGTCGTAAGCCACACCTAGCTGCTCCTGGGCAGGATGGCGACCCCCACACCCTCTGTAGGGCTCAGGAGTCCAGGGTAGGCTTGAAGGGGCCCCTCTGGCCTCGGTTCCTTCCTTCTGCTGGGAACGCAGGCCCCACTGGGGCCTCAAAAGGGTGGGTGTCTGGATGTCCCTTCTCAGAAGGCACCATCAGTTGCTTTTTGCAGAATCTCCCTGAAAAGCAGCCTTTTGTCTGGAAATTGTACTTTGACTGATTTTAGCATTTCTATTAAGGCATAGGGAAAATTTTGTCTCAGCGTGCCAGATGAGCTGGAGAGGCAGCCCTGCACCCGATGAGGAGGTCAGAGCCCCGGCCCTGGGTACAAGCTGCACCTCAAAGTGGCTGAGCCCTACCCTACACTGTCATCATCTGCCCCAGACATCACTGTGCATGTGCAGGTTCTGGGTGTGGGCCCTGGCAGAGGGAGACCCTCCTTCAGGGGCCAGCCTCTCTGTCCACACTCGCAGGGCTGGGGGTAGTCAGAGAGGGCCACCACCTCTGGTCCTTGCAGGCCCTGATCTGGGGCTGTTGCTAGGGTAGGGCTGCAGTCACGGTGGGGCTAGGGCAGTTGAAGGGGCTACCCAGTGGGGTCACAGAGGCAGACAAGTGGCTGGGATTCTGGGATGGGGACCCTCAGAGGCTGGGGTCAGAGGGCAGTGATGGGCTGGGAGCTAGGACTGTTCTGGGGCTTGGTCTGGAGTCCTGCCACGTCACAGGCCCTGCTGCGGCCAGCGGGAAGCCTGCCCTCCCATGAATGTGCAGCTGTCTCCCATGTCCAGGCCGTCTCCAGGATGGACTAGGCACAGAGCACCCTCCCCTCCCCCAAGGTGGATGTCCCTGTCCTCTGGGCTTGGATTCCTGTGGCCAGCCTGCTGTGGGAGGGCAGCAGTCACTCCTCTCTCCAGCCTTGGTTTCCACACGTAGAAATGGGGTGGTCTGCAGCCTGGACACTCAGCCCTCTGCTCTCCGCCCGACTCCCAGGTCCAGGTGCCTTTCTCCTCTGGCCACCATTCAGCATGGGGCAGAAAAGGGCACAGATGGGGCTGTGGGCAAGCGCTGGCCAGCACAAGGGAGGATGCCTCTCCCTTCGCAGGTGCCCCGACACCCAGCTCTCCAGAGGCCACCGGGGTGCATTGGCCCCCACCTGGAATAGTTCCTGAGCCGGAGCACAGCGAGGGGGACACCTGCAGCCCTGCATGGCCGGGGCCCCCAGTTACAACCACAGGCGGCATTGACAGGGTGCTGGCTACACCGGGGAGTGCCAAGGACACATGTTGGCAACTGAACTGCCCAGTTAGGACAAGAAGCAGCCCACCCAAGCCACCCTGGGAGGCGGGACTTGGGTGTAGAGAAGGGGCCTCACAGTTGAGGGTGGGGCAGTGAAGCTCACCCCAGACTAAGCCCTGCCTGTGATGCCTTGGCCTGGGTGGCAGCCCTCCAGAGCCCTCTTCTGTGGCCCAGGAGAGGCAGATGGCCGTGTGGTCATGGGCAATGGCCTCACCAAACCGCACTCCACCTCCACCTCTTAGGCTGTCCAGCACCCCGGGCTCTCCGCTGGAACTGGGGACAGTGCCGACGCCTGTCTTGTGGTGTGTGAGAGCGAAGGGGTGAGTGCCTGGACCTAGGGCCAGAAAGCACCACTGGCCCCTCACCAGCTGCCACCACAGGGTTTTCCAGGCCAAGTCTGCAAGGGTGCCAGCCCCAGTGGGAGTCAGAGCCTGTGCGGACCCCCCCCCCACCCCCCAGCAAGGCCTGGGAGGGAGTGGCTGCTGGGAAGTGGGGCAGGCCTGCCAGGAGCTCTGGCCCTCCCCAGTGGGAAGGGCTGCTTGCTGGATGCCTGCTGGCTTCCCGCTCTCACGCCTCCTCACAGCCTCATGCCCAGAAAGTTGCCAGAACCCAGGCAGTGAGCCTGGAACCCTCCCTGCCTCTGGGCAACCTCACCTAGCCCATGTGCTCTGAGCACGCTACCCCCTTCCGGCTCTGCATGGTGAGGTCTGGTCACGGGGGCTTCTGGGCTTCCAGGGATGGGGTCACCCCAGGCAGCTGGAATTGCCCTGGGCCATGGCTGTGGGCAGTCAGTGCCTGTATAGCTCCGAGGCTGGGCTTGGGCCTGGAGTGTCTTGAGCCAGCCCCTTTGGAGGCTCTTGGACCAATGTCTCAGGGATGTGGCCTGGGGTGGGGTGGGGGATCCCTTCTCCCCTGAGTGCTGTGGGGGTCCTACATCCTTTGCACTGCACTCCACTCAGACCTCACTCCAGGAATGCCCTCCACCTCCGGGGGCTGTGAGGGAGGTGCCTGGGCAGGATCCTGTCCACCCACCGCCCAGCGGGGGCTGATGGTGGCATTTCAGGCATCATTCCCACACTGCCACACTCCACGACCTGCCCCGGGTGACAAGTGTCAGAGGCTCGGGGGGACTTGAATGGCCTGATCCCGCCACCGCGTCCCCCACTCCCGGGATAGCATAGACACACCACACCGGTCTTAAATCATTTATTCCCGTGCAGAGATTTGAGTAGAAAAAGAAACGGTAAACAAACAGAATCAGTACAAAATCAGAGGGGACCAGAATGACTTCTGTCCTCTGCCCTCTGTGCTGCTGGGAGCTGCCTCCTCTCACCCTGAGGGACTACCCCGAGTCACTAGTGCTCCAGGGCCTGGCCCCAGGCCTTCCAGGGAGACTAGGGCATCTGCACCCCCATCACGGCTAGGGAGGGGCTTTGAACCCCTAGGAAAGGGAGAGAAAGGGATGAGAGCCCTTCCCTGGGGGGTGTCAAAGGTTGGGGGCCAAAAGGAGGGCAAGCAGGCCAAGGGCCAGCCCCAGGCCGAGGGCAGTGCTGGCGAGTGGGGCCCGGGCGGGTGCGGCATTGTACAGCTTCTCGTTGCACAGGTCGCCCTGGCAGCACCGGGTGCTGCTCGTGCCGCTGCTGACCTGGCCTTGCTGGGTGTGAGTGGGTGTGCACCACTCCACGCAGTCCTTCTTCACCAGGTTCCCCGACAGAGGCTCCACTGAGTGGGGGGATCGGGGTGGTCAGGCCTGGCGGCCACCTCTCCCCCACTCACACCACCCCTCATTCAGCCCCCGGCTGGCATCCTCCACCTCTGGGCCACTGGCAACACTGTGACCAAGCAAGCTGTCCCCCACATCACCCCTGCTGACCGCCCTGGGGATGCCGCTCACCCGTGGTCATGGTCCTGCAGAAGCGAGAGCCAGCCGAGCATGTCTGTGGCTCCTTGCAGTTGGTGGTGCTGGTGCACACATGGCAGCGGAGAGCTCGGGCTGGTGGTGAGGGTGGCAGGGGATCAGTGGGGCCTGGCCCACCGCCCCCAAAGACCCCTCCTGAACAGAGTCCCACTCCCCCTGCCCTAGGCCCGTCCCCTCTGAGTCTGGGGCCCTACCAGGCTTATGTCCTGAATACAGCCTCAGATGTCAGCTCAGGTGCTGCCACCTGGAGCAGGTGTCCCACCCTGTGCCCTGTCTGCGGAACGGTGAGGAAGCAAACAGGCTGCAGTGCATCGCAGACCCTTCCCCTAGGGGCTCAGGGAGATCTGGGACCATGCTAAGAGCAGCTCTCAGGACATGGCAGAGTGGACAGCGATGGTTCTGAGGGCTTGACTGAGCTGAGGCTCTGGGGGCTGTTAGCTTGGCTGCTCTGAGCCTGTGGGGGCAAGGGCTGGGTCACCTCCTGGGATGTCCTGGGAGGGAGCTGGGGACCAGGAGGGGCTGGTGGCAGGGGCTGGGTGACCCCAGGGGGAGGCATCTCAAGATAACTCCCGGCTCTACTGCCTCTCAGAGTGTCTATGACTCCGTGGGTTCCTTCTAAAATTCTCAGATTCTGAAATACTGAAAATCTGATCCCATTAAGTTAAGATGTGGGTTCATTTTGGTTTAAATTCTAAGAGTCTAGCACCCCATAATGTCAGGGTTCCCTGAGCCTAAAGGTCAAGAACTTCTAGTGGTTGATGACAGCCAGGTGGGCCCAGCCTGGCTGAGGCTAGGGTCTGGCACACAGGCCAGAGCAGCCCACCCCACCCAGTCCCCTTGGCCCAGCCCCTCACCTGGCCCCACGGCCACAGCCAGGGCAGCAAGGAGCAGCAGGATGGTCTTCATCTTTGGCATCGTCTGGGAGCAGTGGGGGCTCCTCCTCTCCGGAGGCCTTATAGCTGGGATGCGGGAGGGGCGGGGGTGGGCAGAGAGCCAGCAAGTGGCATTCCTCCCAGATCTGCCCCACCCTGCCTGGCCCACACCCACTAGCGCAGCTCTCACCTGGCCTCCTCTCCAGGCAGAAGTTTTCCCCCTCCCTTGGGGCCCAGAGGGTGGCGAGGACAGAGGCCCCCAGTGTCTGTCCTTCCCGGTTCCGGGTACTGCAGCTCACTGTGGCTGTCTCCATCTCTGCCTGCCCTGGTCTCTGTGTCTCTGGGTGTCTCTGTTCTCTCGCTGTCCATCCATTCCTGGGTCACTTTGTCTCTGACCTGCCACCCACTCTCCGTCTCCATCTCCAGCTTTGTGTCTTTGTCCTTGCACTCCCACCCTCGGATAGTCCCTTCCGCAGGGTGGCAGCCTGTGCTGGGTGCCCAGGGGCTGGGAGGCAGCAGGAGGAGGCCTGGCCCTGCCTTCCTGAGCTCTGGGCTAGGTTGCTGGGTCGACCCAGCAGAGCTCCAGAAAAGGAACCCCACAGAAGCAAAGGTCCCAGCTGAGGTGGGAGGACTTGGGGTGGCATGAGCTGCTGGGGTGTGGGAGGCGGATGGAGAGGCCACCCCCAGGCAGAGTGTTGGGCCAGGTGAGGACCATGAGGACCCTTCTTAGGACCGTTGTAGGCACCCGGGGGCCTGGAGGGTGGGGCAGGGGGTGGAGGCCAGGACTCAACTCCTCATTGTACAGGGAGCAACCGAGGAACCTGCATCTCTCCACCAGCCCCGTGCCACCCTCCGGGGGCCCAGGACCCCTCTGCTCCCCACCTCCCCTCGACCCCCGCCACCTGGAGGAACAGTGTCACCATCCGACTTTGTGGTTTCTGCCCTACTTGTCTCTGCCCTGGTCCTCCCAAGACTGTTAGCTCATCAGGGCCAGGTCCCCGGTGCCCAGGGCCCCAGTGCAGGGTTTGGGGTCTGGTGCCCAGTAGGTGGGAGGCAGATCCTACCTTCACCCTCTTTGTACTCACAGAGGGTCTCTGAGACCCCGCCCCCCTGCAGCAGGGTGCACCCCTCTCCCTGCTGGCTTCCCCGTCTACCTGCTTACTTGAGCCTGGCAGCCCCTTGTTGGGTGGAGTGAGTGGGACCCACAGAGACCTCGTTCTGCCCCTGCCCTGGTGGGTCAGGCTACGGTGAGTGGGTTGGGGGCACAGATGTAGATCAGCCCTGGCCTGGCCCACCAGCCATCCCTGCCCGAGGCCTGTGGACATGCACCAAGCACGGGCAGGGCCAGCCTGCTGCTGGGAGGGATCCTGGGCCAGGCCAAGGTGCCTGGAGCACTGTGGGCCCTGGGCTGGTCAGACCTGGGCTGGAGACCCTCGGCCCCTCCTCCTGGTATGGCCTGGGCAAGCCGGCTCTTGTGCTGGGCCTCGCCTCTCCCTTGCCAGGTGGGGTAAAGTTACAGCCACAGCACATGTGCTTTCTGAAAAGGCTCCATGTGACTCTCCCTGAAGCAGTCACTGCACCTGGAGGACCTGCCTGAGGGCACAAGGGTCACGAGGCAGTGCCTTCGGAAACCCAGGAGGGGAGCAGGGAGAAGCCCCCGAGACAGCCCCGCATCTGCATACTGTGCCTGGTATGGCCACTGGTCCTGCTGGCTGGTCCCAGGCTCACGGGGTTCATTCAGGGCAGCTGGAGTCTTACTGGACAAGGCAAGTGACACAGGGGTCCACACCTCCACCAGAGGAAAACCAGGCCCCCAGCTTCAGGGCTTCCCTGCACACGAGGCCCAGTGCAAGGCCTCAGTGGGTTGGGCAAGGGTTTGTCAGAGGCCTTGGGAAGCAGAGCTCAGAGCTTGGTGACAGGGTAGTGACTCGGTGGGGAGGTCAGGTGGGGAGGGTGACTCACTGGGGCCAGGGGGCATGGAAGCTGCTGGAAAAACAGGTTTGGGATTCCTGCTGGGTTTGGTGGAGCTGCAGGGTCCATGACGCCAGGTGAATTGGGAGTGGGGGTCTAGGTGTAGGGCCCCGGGGTGGTGGGCTCCCCATGCCTGGGCTGGAGAAGGTCCTGCGGGGCGCCTCAGGCTCCACTGTGGCCATGTTCCTGGGGGACTGCAGGCATGGAAGCCGAGGCCCCAGCTGGGTTTCCAGTCCTGTGGGAGGAGGCAGGGCTGCCCTCGAAGATGTGAGCTGCCTGTCCCCGGCAGTCTCCCAAGAGAGGAGCAAGCCTGGGCCTCCGAGGTTCCCTGCTATGCCCCCTGCCACCTTCCTGCCCTCTCCCCTTGTGCTGTGCCACTGGCATCACACAGGGTGTGGGAACCCAGAGAGGGAAGTGCCTGACTCAGGGCGGCACAGCATAATACTCCGGGCCTTCTGAAAGTGCAGCCCTACGCCCTACCCTGGCCTGGGGTGGACACCAAGTGGACAAGTCAGGCCCCTGGGCTGGAGGTGCCGGCAAACCCTGGGGCATGGGGAGGGGCTTCTTCAGCCTCAGGTGGCCACATGGCAAGTGCACAGTCCCAGCCACAGCCCTAGGGCTCCAAAATGCTTCCCTCTGCCCTGAGGTGCTTCATTCATTCATTCAACATCTTATAAGGACCTGCCATATGCCCGGCACTGTGGGTATAACGAGAGCAAGAGAGGGGAGAGGCAGGGCCCAGCCCAGGGCCCCCAGACCATGAGGGCAGAGGAGACACAATCGGTTGCTATGTGGCACACACCTAGGAGTGTGACCACAGGGAGGCCGAGGGACCTGGGGCTTGGGGGCCTCGGGAGGACCAACCTGGGCGGGGCCATCTAAGCTGAGACCTGAAGGGTGGGTGGCTAGGTAGGGTGTCAGGGCCCAGGCTCCAGGCCCCGTGTGGCCTGGTGTGTCACATCCCTTTTCTGCCTCTTTCCTCAGCAGGGGCTGGGTGAATGCTCCATGAGTCAGGGAGCTGAGTGATGCAGTGTCTCGGGCCTGCTCTGCTCTCCTCTGTGTCACGCATCTGCACAGGTGGGGCCTTGCATGGCACAGAGAGGGGCAGGCTTTCCTCTCATCACCACAGCTGGGCCTGGTCTCAGGCCTGAGCCCATCCCCCACACTCAGCCTCCCCACTCCTCCCTCCTGGTACAGGAGTCACCTTTACACATGGAGCCACAGCCTCAGACATGAGTCTCTGTCACCTGCTTCCCATGAGGTGGGGGAAGGTTTCCCAGGGCCTGGCATGGCCCTGCCCACGTCCTAGATCATCCTCTGGGACCCTGGCCACCAGCAGCACCTCCCCCACTGTTGGGCCTGGCTGCTGGGTGCAGTTAGCTCCACGGGCTGGGCCAGGGGCTGGGCTCAGAGATGGCTCTGCCCCTCCGCGTGGGGCCCGCAGGCTTGCTGGGCCTCTCCCTCCTGCCCTGCCAGCATGCAAATCCAGGGAGCAGCTGCATGGATAGGGCAGAGCTTGAGCAACACTACCCTGCCTTGGGGTGCAGCCTGTTCCCAGGAAGGGCTGGACTGGGCCCCTGGGTTCCTGAGTTCCAGGAAAAACAAACCAGTTCTCAGGCCTGGCTGGTGGTGCCCACAGGTGAAGGCTGGCACCATACCAGCACCTGGGACCAGCATAAGGACACCTTTCCACGGAGCCCTTGGGTGGGCCCTAATTATCAGACAACTTGCTGTGTCCCTCTGAGGCACTGGCAATCAGGGGTCTGGCCAGGGGTGCCCAGTGCCAAAGTCTGGGTGATGAGGGAGAAGCTCTCAGGGTGTGAACTGAGGGCTTCATGGTCCTGCATGAGGTGGGGGAGGCCAGCAGAGGGATGTGGCCACAGAGCCAAGGAACCGTGGGGATCTCAGAGTCACAGGACTGCAGGCTCTTAGCAGTATGGGCTTGCAGAACACAGAACCTTAGAATTTCGGAACTCAAAGAATCTGAGTGGGAATCAGGTACCCTGGAGGTGGTTCATTCTCTGCACGTTAGGACAAGCTCCCACCAGGGTTCTAGGGAAGGACAGAGGAGTCTGTGCTCATGCACAACTCCTGGGGTCTCCCCTCTGCTATGCCACAGCTCCCTCCACCTCTTGCTGTAGCCTGGAGCTTATGGCTGCCAACTCTTAGCTCAATGGGGTAGGATCGAGGGTGGTGAACACAGAGCCCTGGTCACTTTCCTTCCTTACTCCCCTGCCTTCATTTGCTCCCAATATCCACCCACCCATCTATCCATTTACCATCTACCCTTTGACCCATCCACCCAGCCACCCAGCCACCCATTGACCCATCTATCCATCCATCCATCCATCCACCATATCCATCACCCATCCACCCATCCATCCATCTATCCATATCCATCACCCATGCACCCATCCACCCATCATCCCTCTATCCACCCATCCACTCATCCATCCATCTATCCATTCATCAATCTACCATATGTCCCTCCATCTATCCAGTAAGTATTATTTGAAGAGCACCAGTTGTTTGCCAGACAGCATGTTGGGTTATATGTAGAAATACAGATACGAACAAGGAACACCTGCACCCTCACAGAGCTTACTTTCTCAGAGTACCGTTCCATAAAGACAACAAAATGCATTCTGAGATGTCAGGTATGGACAGAGCCTGTGAAGACAAGTGACCCAGGAAGGGTGAACTAATGAGTCAGACCTTTTGACCACCTGAGGGAGACACAGACGAAGTGAGTGCTGCTGGCACAATGTGGCTTTTCCCTAGTCCCTAGTGAGGAGAGCCCCAAGGCATTGACTACATCCTTCCAGACTGTCCCCTTGTGGATGGGCCGCTTCCCACCAGCTGCCCTGCCCTCAGGACAGGCCTTCACCTTCTTACTCTCCCTGTGGTCCTCTCCTTGACCTTGGGGAGTTCCTGCCCCACCAAAGGGTCTCTCTTGTGAGTCAGTGCAGACCAGCTCCGGGGGAGGTCCCAGAAAGACTGTGGAGGTGGTGGCCTTTAGCACTTTGCAGGCAAGGGCTAGTTGGTGGTCTGCAGTGGCTTTGT